CCAGCCGCGGCCACGCGGGCGCCCCTGGAGGCCCAGGAGGGCTCAGATAATGGCACGAGAAGTGGCACCCGATCTTCGGACCCGATGGCCAACGACGACGACGACGCAAGTCCTCTCGAGATCGGTCCCCAGACTGCTCACAGGATTCACCCCAGCCAGTCTGTCGTGCCACGCGCAGCCTCGTCGACGCGACAATCTCGGAACGCCCACCAGCAGCCGAAGCGACGACGACGACGACGGCCGCGGCGGTCGGGCGAGGCCAGGGCTGGTGTAAGCGCTCCCAGTCGCCCTCGGAGCGCTCCGGAGCGCCCTGGAACGGCCGCGGCGCCCGACACGCTGGATCTCATGCGGTTCGCTTGAGGAATGTGCCCAGGAGGCTCCAGACCCTGGGGGATTCCTGATCTGATGAGGGTGGCGGTGAGGCCCACGGCCGAGCCACGGTTGGAGATTCGCCAGCTTCCAGGCCCTGGATTCTCCATCCAGTGGCTGATGGTTCCTTGTCCAATGCCCGCACCATACATCTTCCAGAGCCGCCGGATCCCAGAGATCCCCGACGGTCCGATTCTGCCCCAGTCCTGGCTTCGTTGTAGGCGACGACGACGACGACGACGACGACGACGACGACGACGACGACGGTGACGACGACGACGAACGTGACCGCGACCGCGACCGCGACCGCGACCGCGACCACGACCACGACCACGACCACGACCACGACCACCATGGCGGCGCCGGCGGCGGCGGCGGCGGCGGCGACGGCGACGACGACGACGACGACGCAAATCCGCTCAAGCCGGTTCCTGGCGGCGGCGGCGGCCGCGAGCAGGGCCCCTGGCGCTCACGGTCTGCCTGGCCCTGGCAGCCGCCGCGGCCGCCGCGGTCCGCCTCGCCGCGAGGCGCCCCCCGCGCGCGGCGGCGCCCGGCGGCGCCGCCCGCCTGCCCTTCGGCGGCCCCTCCGCACGGTGCTCGGGGGGCGGCCAGGAGGGGGGTGAGGGCTACCCAGGAATCTGACGCTCCAAGAAAAGTCGGAGAGCGGCGGGATTTTGGCAGGTTTCGGCCTCCACGGGCCCTCGCCGGGCCTCGGGAGCGTCAGGAAACGAATCAAGACGAACAGCCGCATCGAAAAGTTCGAGCAGCCAGATGTCTGGGTAGGGGGGGTGAGTACCATAGCGGGGGCCATGATATCTCCCCAGATTTCATGGCACCTCTTCTTGTTTCAATGCGTCGCCGGCCCCCCTTTGGGCCGCGCACATGCCGCCGGCCCTGATTTGCACCCTCCCCTCTTGGACGCCCCCCTCTTGGCCGCCCCCCAGGGTACACTGTCGGACAGAGGTGTGTAAGATCGAGGTCGGTTCGGGGAGGATACCCATAATGTGCTTCGTGTTTGTTGGCGATGCTCTTGCCTGAGATCCTGGCGCTGCAAATTTTTCGCAACGGGCGTTTTCGCTCGATGTCGGGCCCCCGGACCCTCAGAGATCGATCTGGCTCGCAAAGTGATTCAGAAAGATGGGGTCGGGGGGTCCAGGCGTGATTTTATGCTGCATTTTTTTGCAACGTCGGATTTCAGGGTGGTGCATGCATGGGAACCAGCAATGCCATGAGCATAAAAACTCGGAGGTCCGCGCGGATTCCTCGGATCGGCGCTGTGTGGCCCCCTGGCGGCGCCACTGGCGCCGCCCCTGGCGCGCTCCGCGCGCCATTGAGGGGGCTCCAGCGCCGATCTGAGAAATCCGCGCGGACCTCCGAGTTCTTATGCTCATGTCATTGCTGGTTCCCCGGATGTTCTGTTGTTTTGCTTGGGGGCCGGCGGAGGGTGTCCTGTTCTCGAAGGAGGTTCTTCTGTCCCAGGTCTGAGTCGGGCATGACCCTCTGCAGGAGGAATCTTCAAAAACCGTCTGGGGACGATGTTTCGATTCCTTTTGACTAGGTTTGACAATTTGTTGGCAATTTCCCATATCAGCCAGCGTTGACTCCAAATAGATAGGAGGACAGGAGGAGAACGAGAGGAGGATGGGATGAGGACGAAAGGAGGACGGGAGCAGGACGGGAGGAGGACGGGAGGAGCAAATTCAAGCAAGCGCAAGCAAGCAAGCGCAAACGACCCCGAGGTAGTCCGCGGCGACCTCCACACCCGGGCGCCGCCTCGGGCAGCGCCCCTTGGGGGTCGGTGTGGAGACCGTCCGGGGCGTCCTCGGTCGGCGGGTGGACGCTCTGGCAGGGCCGTCCGTGCAGACGCGGGGGGAGGGGGAAGGAAGGGAGGGAGGGAGGGAGGACAAAGAGGAGTACAGTAGGCCGTGCCTAATGTGGCGGTGTGGGGGGAGTGGTGGGCTATCGATCAGATTGCGGCTGCTTTTGGCCTGTCTGCATAAGGTTTGGCTGCAGCTACCTCGGACAAGGCCGAGGAGGCCATGCGCAATGCCCTCAGAACATCAGAGGAAGACCAACCATAACGTGTTGTGCTTGTTCCCTTCTGTTCTCAGAGGTAGACCTACTATATGTAGGATATTTTCTTGAGCCCCTGGATTGCCTCTGGTGCCTCGGGATGTGCGATGATGATGAGGAGGAGGAGGAGAAGAGGAGGACGAGGAGCAGGAGGAGGGAGGGAGGAAGGGCGAGGAGGGGAGGGAGGCGGAGGAGGATAATACAGGGAGATTGCAGCAGGTCCCCAGGACAGCACCGACGGCACAGCTGGGCAAACTCATCCGACAAACGGATGGCCCTCAGTATTTTTACTTACAGGTCTTCTTCAGGAGTGAATTCTGCACGGTAGAGCCCCCCTGCACCCCGTGAGACTCAGGCCCAGGGGGGATGGGCCAGGCAGTCCCAGCCTTGGGAGGCTTACCGTCACGCAAACGCTTCAAAGAGTGGCGTCCCGAGGGAGTGATCTTATCAGTGCAGGCTTCAGCTATCATCATGAGCCTACCCCCTCCTCGCATCACACTCCCGAGATGTGCACACGTCCAGCACCAGACAAGTCCATGCCTCATGGCAACAGCATGCGAAGGGTGGACTGACTTGGTGGCCGTCCTGATCTCGCTCAATGCTCGGCGCGGCACGAGGTCAGGGGTTCCATCATCACTTCTGACTCGGAGCGTGGCGTCACCCTTGCGGCAGGATCTCTCGAGCCCATCAGCCAGCGAGGACCTCCCTGTGCCCAAAGTGCACTCGGAGCAGGCCCAGCCGCGCTCAGCCACGCACTCCGTCTTGTGGCCCGAGCTCTGCTCAAAGGCCACCGCTCTCCTCGGAGCCTCGCCTCCTCCCCCGGGCGCCTCGCGCGGTGGGGGCGGTCCTGGTCGGCCGCCCCTCCGCGGCCAGCGCGGCAGCCTGCTGCGAGACGCTGGGTGGGCCAGCGGGGCCGGGGCACCTCCGCTGCTGGGAAGAGATCCGCGCGTGCGCCTCCTGGGCTGCGACTTTTCATCCTGGGTATTTTGTGGCGGTCCTGGGGCTCGGCGATGGCCCCCAGGGGCAGAAACCGGCGAAAAACTGCCGCATCGGTGGTTTCAATACGTTGGAGCTCTGGGGGTCCCCGACGACGACGACGACGACGACGACGACGACGACGACGACGACGACGACGACGACGACGACGACGGCGGCGGCGACGACGACGACGACGACGACGACGACGACGACGACGACCGACGACCGACGACCGACGACCGACGACCGACGACCGACGACCGACGACCGACGACCGACGACCGACGACCGACGACCGACGACCGACGACCGACGACCGACGACCGACGGCGATGGCGGCGGCGGCGGCAGCGGCGGCGGCGGCGGAGTCGTGGCCGCCGTGGCCGGCCGCCCCGAAGAGGCCCGCCGGCCTCGCACCCCCGCGCCTGCCGCGCCCGCGGCCGCTGTCGCTGGCGGCCTCGGGCTGCGAGGAGCGCGCCGGCGGCGCCCGCCCAGCGGGGCCTCGGCGGCCCCTCGGCGGCCCCTCGGCGGCCCTCCCGGGCGCCTGGGCGGCCCTCCCCTGGGCGGCCCTGCCTGAGCGGCACCGCGCTCTGGGGTTGCGGCCCGCCGGCTGCCCCTTTGGAGGCCCTCGGCAGGCCCTTCGAGGCCTGGGGCGGCGCCACCGCCGCCAGCAAGCTTCGAGGGTCGGGGCTCGAGGGTCGAGGTCTGTGGGCGGCGTCCCTGCGCCTTTTTTGCGGCCTCTTCTGGGGGCCTCGCGGCCACGGCTGCCTTTGCCGTGGCATTCTGGTCAGAACGCTGTCCAGAAGAGGTCGTCGTCGTCGTCGCCGTCGTCGTCGTCGCCGCCGTCGCCGAACTTCGAGAATCGAGGATTCTGGACGCTCCTTGGAAATTGGGGTCCTTTTGCGGCCATGGCTGGATCTGCCATGAAATTCTGGTCAGCGCTTCCCAGGAACGGTCGAGGGTCGGTGCTGTCGTCGTCGTCGGGGTTCGTCTTTGCGTTGTTGCTTTGTTTTTTTCCGAACCATCCTGTGTTGGGTCCTCGTTTTGAAGAGGCAGCGCCCCGCGTTCCTCCTCCTTCCTTCTTTGTCCTCCTCCTCCCCCTCCTCCCTCCTCCCCCTCCTTGCCTCTGCCCTCCGCATGTCCATTTCGGCTCACCCCTCACACAGTTCGTGGCCCCATACGGAGCTCCACCGAAGGCCCCAGTGGCCGCGTCCGCATGCGCTTTCCCCGCCCACCGCATGTCCATTTTGGCACCCCTCACGCGTTTCGTGGCCCCATAGGGGGCTCCACCGAAGGCCCCAGTGGCCGCGTCCGCATGCGCCTTCCCCGCCCACCGCCTGGGACACCCCTCACACGTTTCGTGGCCCCATGGGGAGCTCCACCGAAGGCCCCAGCCGCATGCGTCTTCCCCGCCAGCCGCATGCCCATGTCGGCACACCCCTCACACGGTTCGCGGCCCCATACGGAGCTCCACCGAAGGCCCCAATGGCCGCGTCCGCACGCGCCCTCCCCGCCCACCGCATGCCCATTTCGGCACACCCCTCACACGGTTCGTGGTCCCATGGGGAGCTCCACCGAAGGCCCCAGTGGCCGCGTCCGTATGCGCCCTCCCCGCCCACCGCATGCTCATTTCAGCACACTCCTCACGCGTTTCGTGGCCCCATGGGGAGCTCCACCGAAGGCCCCAATGACAGGGTCCCCATGCGGCTCCCCGCCCGCTGCATGTCCATCTTGGCACACCCTTCACACTGTTCGTGGCCACATAGGGAGCTCGAATGGAGGCCCCAGTGGCCGCGTCCGCATGCGCCCTCCCCACCTCGGCACACCCCTCACACGGTTCGCGGCCCCATACGGAGCTCCACCGAAGGTCACAGTTGCACAGTCCACATGCGTTCTCCCCGCCCACCGCACGTCCATTCCGACAGCGGTTCGTGGCCCCATGGGGAGCTCCACCGAAGGCCCCAGAAGCACAGTCCACATGTGCCCTCCCCGCCCACCGCGAAAAAAGATGGGCCCAGAACGCGGCTATCCATCGGGAGGCCCGTCGAAAGATGGACCCAGAACGCGGTATCCACAATTGCTTATATATACATTGGGTCCTTCGTCAGGATAATTTTTTGGAGGGGGATGCGTCTGGAGGCTTTCGTCGGCACGTGTGGGTACAGCTCGAAAAACTGACCAGGATGCCAGGAGAGGTGAGCGGACTGATGTTGATCGGATTTGGGGGTTTTCGTCGTCGTCGCCGTACAGGAGCTAAGGTCAGGGTCATGCTTGTCTTTGCATCGTTGTTGTGGCCCTGCGGAGGCACCTGGGGACTGCTGGAGGCCTCAGGAGGCCTGCAGGGACCGCCGCGGGGACCTGGGGGCCGCCGGATGATTTGGTCGCCGCCGTCGTCGTCGTCGTCGTCGTCGGCGAGGATTGGGAGTCGAGGGCTCCGGTTTTCTCGGCTTGTTTGGCGGCTTTCGGCGTGGACTTGAAAGCGTGGACTCTAGTATGCCCAACGTGCAATCAACCGTGTGGCACCTGCCAGACACCACCAGGTATAGTGGTGCCAACCTCGGTGCACCAGGCGGCGATCAACAAAAGCGCAACAACTGGCGCATCATAGGCATCAGCCGTGATTAGGGCAACGCGCATAAGACACCGTAGAAGTATTGGACGTCGCAGCAGCTGAGGCACTCTGGAGCACCAGCCTGTATCACCCACAGAGCACCAGGGCTATACGTGAGACATCGCAGCAAACGGCCCATCATAGAGCACCAGTCTTAGAGTCACCACGCCTGGAGCACCAGGGCCAGAGCGCGAAGTCGCAGCGAAAAGCCCATCATAGAGCTCCAGGCAGAGGGAACCACCCGCAGAGCCCCAGGGCAAGCCTGCGGAATCGGAGACAGCAGCACATCATCCTCAACACCAGCCGTCGAGCACCACCGTCAGAGCACCAGGCCAAGAACGCAAAATCGCAGCAAATAGCACATCTGGGAGCACCAGCCACAAAAGTACAGCACATAGAGCACGAGACCAAGAACGAGAAATCGCAACTCACGGCCCATCATGAAGCACGCATGGAGCACCACTGCGTGAATTCTAAGTCGAAGTCAACGGCCCGCTTGTTGTCGTCGTCGCCGCCGCCGTGGTCGTCGCTGGTCGTCACCGTAACCGTCGTCGTCGTCGTCGTCGGCCGTCACTGTAACCGTCGTCGTCGTCATCGCCGTCGTCGTCGTCGTCGCCGTCGCCGTCGCCGTTGCCGTCGCCGTCGTCGTCGTCGTCGTCGTCGTCGTCGTCGTCGTCGTCTTCATCGTCGTCGTTGTCGTCGTCATTATCCTGATCATCGTTTTCCTTGTCCTCGTCCTTGTCGTCATCATCATCATCATCATCATCATCATCATCATCATCATCATCATCATCGTCATCATCAGCATCATCATCATCATCGTCATCATCATTTTCAACATCAGCACTAAGCCTCACGGCGCTGTCTATGGCCCGCTATGCATGTATGTATGTAGGAATGAATGAATGAATGAATGAATGTATGTATGTATGTATGTATGTATGTATGTATGTATGTATGTATGTATGTATGTATGTATGTATGTATTTGTGTATGTATGTATGTATGTATGTATGTATGTATGTATGTATGTATATATGTATGTATGTATGTATGTATGTATGTATGTATGTATGTATGTATGTATGGATGGATGGATGGATGGATGGATGGATGTATGTATGGATGGATGGATGTATGTATGTATGTATGTATGTATGTATGTATGTATGTATGTATCATCACCTTCGTCGTCGTCATCCTCGTCGTCGTCGTGCTCGTCGTCCTCGTCCTCGTCCTCGTCGTCCTCGTCCTCGTCCTTGTCCTCCTCGTCCTCGTCGTCGTCCTCGTCGTTCTCGTCCTCGTCATCCGCGTCGTCGTCGTCGTCGTCCTCGTCGTCGTCGTCGTCGTCGTCGTCGTCGTCGTCAGCCTGCTGCTCCGTCTCGGCCCTGCTCGGCCGCAAGGATCTGCCCGGCGCGAAGAGCGGGGCGGCCTGGAGCGACGGCACCAACGGCTGCGACGCCTACGAGGCTCGGGGGCCTGCGAGGTTTTCGGGCGTTCTCTCCCTCCGTATCTTTTAGCCGATCCCCATCCCCCATGCCGATCCCCACCATTTCTCGGTCTCCCAGACGGGGTCGGAATAGGTGGGGTCGGAGGGTCGCGCCGCAGCGCCGATGCATCGGGGATGCGGCTCGATGTGGGGCCCCATTGGCTCCACGCCGAAGTCACGGATGTATCGCCGGCGTCGCCAGGGCATGGCCGATGCATCGCCGATGCATCGGCGATGCGGCGAGATCTTCCGACTCCATCTACTCGGACCCCATCTAGGAGGCCTCTAACCATTCGGCGGCGAGCGAGGGGGGGAAGTGAGAAGGAGAAGGCCTTCTCAGAAGGTCCGCCCCTTCTCACTTCCCCCCCTCGCTCGCCGCCAAGTTTAACCGATCCCCATCCCCATCCCGATCCCCACCACCCTACCACCCCAGTTGGGGATATGTCCCTCGAAACTGTAAGGGAACAGCCTGCATCCCTATCTGGGGGGGTAAATCGGCCAGTGAGGCTCGTTTAACCGATCCCCATCCCCATCCCGATCCCCACCATCCTCCCACCCCAGTTGGAGATCTGCCCCTCGACACTGGAAGGGAACAGCCTATATCCTCATCCAGGGGGGGAAATCGGCCAGTGGGGCCCAGGCCACGCCCGTGGGGATAGGGATCGGCTCAGCGATGCTCACTCCCTCGCCTGCTCATGGGGGTCAGCCTTTTGGAGGTCAGTTCTGGGCTGTGCTTGTTTCAGACAATGATTATTGCGAAGGCCTGACGGCCGGTGCCGCCGACCCTGTTCGCAATGCGCAGCAAGAGATTACGAGGTTGCTCAAGGTCGGCTTGGCTGGAGCCCAGGGGAAGAGGAGTCCCAGGGGGGGGCGTCGTATCTGACCCGGGGGGGGGGTCGCTACCCCCCCCCCCTCCCGGCGGGGGAGGGATCAAAGGGAAGGGGCTTCCCTTCGACTCAATTACGAGGTTGCTCAAGGTCGGCTTGGCTGGAGCCCAGGGGAAGAGGAGTCCCAGGGGGGGGCGTCGTATCTGACCCGGGGGGGGGGTCGCTACCCCCCCCCCCTCCCGGCGGGGGAGGGATCAAAGGGAAGGGGCTTCCCTTCGACTCAATTACGAGGTTGCTCAAGGTCGGCTTGGCTGGAGCCCAGGGGAAGAGGAGTCCCCAGGGGGGGGCGTCGTATCTGACCCGGGGGGGTCGCTACCCCCCCCCCTCCCGGCGGGGGAGGGATCAAAGGGAAGGGGCTTCCCTTCGACTCAATTACGAGGTTGCTCAAGGTCGGCTTGGCTGGAGCCCAGGGAGAGAGAGTCCAGGGGGGGGCGTCGTAGTCTGACCCGGGGGGGGGGTCGACCCCCCCCCCCCTCCGGCGGGGGAGGGATCAAGGGAAGGGGCTTCCCTTCGACTCAATTACGAGGTTGCTCAAGGTCGGCTTGGCTGGAGCCCAGGGGAAGAGGAGTCCAGGGGGGGGCGTCGTATCTGACCCGGGGGGGGGGTCGACACCCCCCCCCCCTCCCGGCGGGGGAGGGATCAAAGGGAAGGGGCTTCCCTTCGACTCAATTACGAGGTGTGCTCAAGGTCGGCTTGGCTGGAGCCCAGGGGAAGAGGAGTCCCAGGGGGGGGCGTCGTATCTGACCCGGGGGGGGGGTCGACACCCCCCCCCCCTCCCGGCGGGGGAGGGATCAAAGGGAAGGGGCTTCCCTTCGACTCAATTACGAGGTTGCTCAAGGTCGGCTTGGCTGGAGCCCAGGGGAAGAGGAGTCCCAGGGGGGGGCGTCGTATCTGACCCCCCCCCGCCCCCCTCCCGGCGGGGGAGGGATCAAAGGGAAGGGGCTTCCCTTCGACTCAATTACGAGGTTGCTCAAGGTCGGCTTGGCTGGAGCCCAGGGGAAGAGGAGTCCCAGGGGGGGGCGTCGTATCTGACCCGGGGGGGGTCGACACCCCCCCCCCCTCCCGGCGGGGGAGGGATCCAAGGGAAGGGGCTTCCCTTCGACTCAATTACGAGGTTGCTCAAGGTCGGCTTGGCTGGAGCCCAGGGGAAGAGGAGTCCCAGGGGGGGGCGTCGTATCTGACCCGGGGGGGGGGTCGACACCCCCCCCCCTCCCGGCGGGGGAGGGATCAAAGGGAAGGGGCTTCCCTTCGACTCAATTACGAGGTTGCTCAAGGTCGGCTTGGCTGGAGCCCAGGGGAAGAGGAGTCCCAGGGGGGGGGCGTCGTATCTGACCCGGGGGGGGGGTCGCTACCCCCCCCCCCTCCCGGCGGGGGAGGGATCCAAAAAGGGGGGGGGCTTCCCTTCGACTCAATTACGAGGTTGCTCAAGGTCGGCTTGGCTGGAGCCCAGGGGAAGAGGAGTCCCAGGGGGGGGCGTCGTATCTGACCCGGGGGGGGGTCGACACCCCCCCCCCTCCCGGCGGGGGAGGGATCAAAGGGAAGGGGCTTCCCTTCGACTCAATTACGAGGTTGCTCAAGGTCGGCTTGGCTGGAGCCCAGGGGAAGAGGAGTCCCAGGGGGGGGGCCTCGTATCTGACCCGGGGGGGGGGTCGACACTGGCCGAAGCTTAGTCGCAGGTCTTCAGGTCCCGACTCCTTCAAAAGCTTCCCCCTCCTCCCTATCCTCCCTCCTCGCGCAGCAGCCCATGAACCACATTCACTACCCAACACAACATCCCCGTCGCCATCACGACATCAAATTCATACGTCCTGACATAACTTAACATAACGTAGCATAACATATCACAGCGTAACATATCAAACCAGGACATAACATACCATGCATAACATCATTCGCCAACATCTGACATCATATGCCATAACATAACATCACATAACGCTTGCCACGATCTCGAATAAAGAGAAATGTGCCACCCTGAGCGTTCACAAAAACGACCTGCTGAAACAGTAACGTGCAACCGTGGGCGTTCGCGAAAACAACCTGGTGAAACAAGAGTGTGCCATCCTGGGCGCTCGCGAAAACACCACAAAACACAGTATCACATCATATAACGTCATATCATAATGTAGTATAGATACAACATGCGTAACATACAAAACATCACAGCCACACACTATAACATCACACGTCCGCTACGGCCAGAACAAGGCCACAATAACATCGGACAAGAACATGAGATCCTCCGCGGGCCAAAGTACCCCAAACCATAAGGACGTCGAGGACGCCCTTCCGATGTGTCCCCGACCTTCACTTCCGAGCCAACGTGCGTAAGTACGCATCTGGTTCAGCCCCCAGCCTAAAGCCTTCGACTGCACAGCCTGGACCACGCAACCCCGAAGCCCTGACCCCCCCCCCCCCGCCCCCCGAGATCCACGCTGTGTTCCTGTGCCCTGGATCTGCCTCCGCGCGTCCGTCGTCATCCACGAGCGCGCGGTTGCTGGAGGCAGCACGTTGACATCGAGACCGAAGAACATGGAGGGTCTTGCCCGCGCCGCGGACGCGCGAGGCCTGCGACCAGCTTAGTCGGGCTCTAGCAGTGGGCCTCAGCGCCACGTCTCACGCCCTGGCACTCATGCACGCGCGCGAGCTCTCGCCCCAACCCCGCGGCGCCCCAGGGAGCCTCGCGCGACCTCGCCTGCTCGCCCCAGACTCAAGGCCGCGGCCGCGCGGCCTGGCCCCCGCCACCCTAGGCCCAGCTCCAGGCTGCTGTTGCCCCAAAACAAGAACATGCGAGGGTGTGCGTCTCCGCGCCGCCGTCATCCACGAGCGCGCGGCTGCTGGAGGCGACACACTGACATCGAGACCGAAGAACATGGAGGGTCCTGCCCACGCCGCGGACGCGCGAGGCCTGCGGCCAGCTTAGGGCTCTAGCAGTGGGCCTCAGCGCCACGTCTCACGCCCTGGCACTCATGCACGCGCGCGAGCTCTCGCCCCAACCCCGCGGCGCCCCCAACAACTCTGGGTTCTGCAGCGGCGCAACTCATGGGTTTTGGTGCATGTGTTCCAGGCCAACATGGCGACTCTTCTATTGCCGATAACGCGAAGCTCCGCACGCGCACACGCCGCCGCGCGCGCGGCGGCGCAGGCGCGCGAGAGGAATGTTTGTCTGCGCTGTTGTAGAACGCATGCACCAAAACCCATGTTAACTTTCGAAATCCAATCGGCAACCACTAAGGGTTCACTTTGATTTCCCAGGCCAACATGGCAACTTTTCTATTGCTGATAACGCGGGGCGCCCCACGCGCAGCCGCGCGCGCGGCGGCGCGGGCGCGCGCGAGGGGTTGTTGTATACGCCGTTGCAAGACACGTACACCAAAACCCATGTTGACTTGGAAATCCAATCGGCAACCGCTAGTGGTCCACTTTGACTCTCCAAGCCAACATGGCGCTTCTTCTACTGCTGATAACACTGAGCGCCCCACGCCCCTGCGCCGCCGCGCGAGAAGCGTTTGCATGCGCCGCTGCAGAACACATGGGCTCTGGCGCATGTGTTCAGCAACGGCGCATGCAACCACTTCTCGCGCGCGCCTGCGCCGCCGCGCGCGCGGCGGCGCAGGGGCGTGGGGCGCTCAGTGTTATCAGCAGTAGAAGAAGCGCCATGTTGGCCTGGAGAATCAAAGTGGACCACTAGCGGTTGCCGATTGGATTTCCAAGTCAACATGGGTTCTGGTGTACGTGTCTTGCAACGGCGTATACAACAACCCCTCGCGCGCGCCCGCGCCGCCGCGCGCGCGGCGGCGCGTGCGCGTGGAGCGCCCCGCGTTTTCAGCGATAGAAAAGTTGCCATGTTGGCCTGGGAAATCAAAGTGAACCCTTAGTGGTTGCCGATGGGATTTCGAAGTTAACATGGGTTTTGGTGCACGTGTTCTACACCAGCGCAGACAAACACTCCTCGCGCGCGCCTGCGCCGCCGCGCGCACGGCGGCGCGTGCGCGTGCGGAGCTTCGCGTTATCGGCAATAGAAGAGTCGCCATGTTGGCCTGGAAATCAAAGTGAACCCTTAGCGGTTGCCACTTGGGTTTCCAAGTTAACA